TTTAGGGTTTAGGGTTTTTTGTTTTCAGGGTTTAGGGTTTAGGGTTTAGGGAGGTGCTCTCGCTGTCAGATTTTCCTTTGGCATCCTTCAAGATCCGGACAATAATCGGAATCAGCATCATAATAGTTATACTTCTAACAATGACGATGGTATGAATACTTGTTATTTCAATCGAACCTGCTGGCAGCAATACTACGGTTGACGATATACATCCTGCATTACTCATAATAAGGAATCTACCATAATTCCCACAGTTTTCGGGCCCCTAAGGCAAGGCAGGATTTATATCACCAACAGTAAGCGTGGGGGCCGACGCCCTGGGAAATGGAGCTCTGGGATTCACCAGTTCGGCCACGGACGGCAACAAGAACGCTCCAACGGTTTAGGGTTTAGAGCTTAGGGTTTTTTGGGTCTTAAGTTTAGGGTTTTGGGATTAGGGTCTTGCGTTTTGGGTTTGGGGTTTAGGAGTTACCCTGAAAGCTTGAGCAGCTGCTGAAGAAAATGAGGCCCGAAGGAAACCTGCGTAGCCAGCCCGCATCCTCTGACAGCTCCGACCACCATCATGAGCCCCGACGAGCAGCCTACTAAAAGACGACCTTAATCGACTAACTATCTATCTATCTATATATATATATATGCATATATATATATATATACGTATATATATATATTAATATATACAAAATATATATATATATATATATATGCATATATATATATATATATATTTATATTTATATTTATATTATTTATTTATTGATTTATTTATCTATTTGTTTGCTTATACACACTGAGATATGATTATGCGATACATACATACGTACGTACATACCTACCTACCTACCTACCTACCTACCTACCTACGTACATACATACGTACATAAATGCTAGAACGCACGAGCATATACTGTCATATACTCTGACATACTACAGCATATAATATACTATGATATAGCACACCGCGCATTCTCAAGACACAAGTGCATTGCAGAACCTGCATGATGTTGCTGTTGGCGTGATCGTCCCTACAGCAATCGGCGCGTTTTCTTCATTGAAGGAGTTATTTACGGCATGCTCCCACCTGTACACATAGTCAGGTTTGGCACTGCTGGGTGCATTTGCTGACACGCTACGTCGTGGCGACCTGCATGGAGGTTGCCCCGGTTTAGGGCTATTTAGAATCACGGGGACTCCAGAACCTGGAGCTCTAGAAGGCCGCTCCCGCGCACTATCCCCCATGTCTTGATAAGGCGGTTGTGTCTACTGTTCACTATATGCTAGAGTATCGTATATAGTATACTATATAGTATACTATATAGTATACTATATAGTATGGTATAGTATATATCCTATTTAAAGTAGGGTACATAGTATAGTCTATACTATAGTATAGTCATATAGTATAGTATTGTGTTCCTGAACCTCAAACCCAAAAGCCGTACAATAAGTTCGTAAGCAACCCTTATGAGCCACTCCTTAAGCACCGAATACCTCGACAGCAAATGTCACTTGCCGCTGACAGCCAACAACATCAGCTGCCACAACTGGACAGCGATTTGATGATGATCCTGCTGGTAGGCATGTTCTGCATCGCGAGACATGAATGAACCTTCGAGCTTTCTCCCCCTCCGCATATAAGCCCAACCAGAAACATTAGACCTCGCACTGCTCTGTCCCCTTCAAAACCCTACAGCTCCGGGGTCAACACTGGCCGTTGGCGGCTATGGGACTTTGGACCTTCCAAAAACGCAAAGTCCAAGCCATGGACGGTAGCATGATTGTCCCTAGAGACGGTACTCGTCGCACTGTTACGACTTCAAGTCTTCAAGTGCTGCACCACGACTGCTACTACCACTGCGGCTGCTGCAGCTGCCAGTGTTACTGCAACCGTTGCTGCTTCTTTCTACTGCTGCTGCTCCTCCTGCTGCTGGTGCTTCTTCTCTGACGACGATGACGACGACGACTACTGCTACTACTCCTCAATTGAACACCACCACCACCACCAGCACGACGACCACGATGACTGCCACCACTTACATTCGGCTAGCAAGTTCCCAGCCTTTGCAATATACGATTCCAGAAATTCGTAGAAGAAGGGCTCATCTGGGAGCCGGGGGCCGACTGCTTCCCAGAACGATGGGGCAGGAGTTTGGGTTTAGGGCTTAGGGCTTAGGGCTTAGGGTTTAAGGTTTAGGGTTTAGGGTTTAGGGTTTAGGGTTTAGGGCTTAGGGTTTAGTTGCGTGCGGGTAGTCTTACTACCAGTACGAGCATGCAGGGAATCTACAGGAGGTTTGCGACTCATTCCTGCCGATCTTGTGTTTGCCCTCGGGTGGATACTCAGTTTGCCCACATTGCCCACATTTTTTACGGCTCCCAGACCCCAAGCATACTTCCGAAAAGCTCACCCAAGTCTGCAAAATCCCAAGGCCCAACCAAGCGAGCCAAATCGCTCAAGAACACAAAACAAAAGCCCGGCAAAGTGTTTAACGTCCTTTGTCTGAATGCCGTCGAAAAACACACCAACCTCACTCGGAGGCGGATACGCCAAACCTCCAAATCCCAGACTACTTAGCCCCCCTGGCCACACTTTCCCATTGAACTCAAAAGCCTCAACCCTCTAAGCCTTAATTAACAACCCCAAACACAGCCCTCTTGCCAAGGCCTAAACTCAAATGCACCTAGACTCACAGACCACTAAACCCTGCACGAGCTGCACCTTCGCAGACCCTGCTCCCGGTGCCAGCAGAGCGCCCAGCGCCACCAGGAGCGCCGGGCGCATGGGAAAACTGCGCATGTTCCCCTAGCAGAACACAGGGCTTGATGGGGGTTTACGGGTATTTAGCAAAGGTTGTCTGGGGCCGTGGCACAGCTGGTAAAATGATACATCAGCCGCGTTTGGTGGCTCGATTCTGGGGCTTCACGCTACGATGAGTCTCAAGTCTGGGATTGACGATGCGCGAAACCTCCCACCCTGGGGTACATATATATATATATATATGTACATAGAGGCTAGGTAGATCTGCGGGAGCCTAGCCTGTATGCATAGAGGGTAAGGGGTTTAGGACTTGGGGGACCGCTCAGCGGCCACTCTCAGCAAGTCTCGGCTTCCAATTTTGGCAATCGGCACTTTCGATGTTCCCTAACAGACACGAAACGCTAAACCCTAAACTTTCATAGGTCTTTAGCACTAAACACTAATCCTCGGGAGTCCCTCTCTGCAGTCCGACGGCCAATCCAGAAGCAGCTTGGGAAAAGAAGGGTTTAGGTTTAGGGTTTAGGGTTGAGGTTCAAACAAAGCACTTTGAGCCTACAATGCACCGCCCTGCATGTAAGGGCCTCAATAATTAGAATAGGGTTTTGGGGACCATTATCCAAAACTTATGATAAGGAACCCCCTAAATAGTATAGGTTATTTAGGCCCCTACATTACCCCTCAACTTCCTACGCCTGACCTAGCCTGTTCCCTCTGGAGGATGCCGGAAAAAAGCCTGTAACGTAGGGGCCTTAATAGTAATTAGAATAGGGTTGCGGGGTATATTATACTATAACTATACCCAAAATAGTATTGGTCATTATTCAGACCAAAATTTTACGGTAGTAGCGAAGAACACCTTGGACCTGAATGTTGCTTTGCCTAGCCACGTGCCTGCGAGGTAGCCACGGTGAGATCGGTTCGGTACCAACCTTGGCTTCAAAATTTGAGCACAACGCGAGTCCTTCTCAAACCTATCAGGCCTGAACGAGCCACGGGCTCGGTTGAACTCAAGACTTCAGGCTTCCACCGCGTAGCTGCAGCTCACCCACGCGCGAAATTGCACGTTACCTCGCTTACCCTCGTCCAGGAGCTTCCAGAGAAGAAGCCCTTAGGCTTCACTACAAAAAGTGACCGGCTCATGCTGAATAGCCTATCACATACTACAATATCTATAACATACTACAATGTGAGATGACATCCGATAGTATACGAAATCAACGACAATGTACTATGATGTACTATGATATACGGTAAAGCTTTGGCAATTAGTACAAGGTACCGGGACATATTTTAATATTATACCATCGGGGGCTGTCTTGGGCTCGGAACATCACTTCGCAAGCTACGGCGCTCTGAACTGAAACACACTGGTGATAGCTGAAAGTCGTTAGTCCAGTGTTCAAGATCTATAACACCTGTGAGGCGCTCAGACAACGTAGCCCTTCGGTGCATTATCGTATATCGTCCCATATCCTTGGTATATTGCAGTATGTTATCGTATATGGTAGTCTGTTATGGTATTTGATAGGGCTTTGGATTGGCACTAGCTAGGCGGCAAAGCAAGTGAACTCCGCGAAGCCCTCCCAAGCAGCTAATATAGGGACCTTCATAATTAGAATGGGGTTTGGGTGGGTATATTACACTATACTTATAATCAGGAGCCCCCAGAATGTTTAAGCCCCTATATTACAACGTGCTGAGGCATTGGCCTGCCGGTGGGACATCGGAATCCGCCAGAGCCGAAAGGAGCAGCCACAAGAACAATAGGAGTTAGGATTAGGGGGACCCTTGGGGATATAGACTCCCTCTCAATTAGGTCCCTTCTAAGAGAGCCATAAGTAGGGTTAAGAAGGGTCCCCTTTGAGGGTCTCCCTAATACTACCTAGGAAACAAAGCTTGCAGGCAGATGTTACTCAAGGTTTCTAGGACTGGATGACGCAGTGCCGTTGGTAGCTCGGCATGCAAACAGGGCAGTCAAGTTTTGAGGACGGGCGGTTCAGTTGCAGCAGTTGCTTAGGGTTTACGGTTTAGGGTTTAGGGCTGCATGCGGATCCCAACCGGCGTGAGGCAATACCTCCTTTGATTGCTCTGCTTGACTTGGTGATGGTGGTCATTGTGATGGTGAGGTGGGGGAGGGTCACACCAGAGCAAAGAACGCTTTCAAATCCTTGTGGCTTTCTATCCCTAAACCCTAAACCCTAAACTGGTCGGAAAGCTGTGGGAAGCCCTATCGGCGCAGAATCGCAAGGCGGGTCCGACCCGGCACGACATTGCTGGTTAAAGGGATCTCGGGTTTAGAATTTAGGGTTTTAGGGTTCAGGGTTTAGGATTTAGGGGGCTCCTTATTACAATTATAGTAGAATATACCCCCAACACCCCTATTCTATTTTTTAAGGCCCCTATATTAAAGGGGTCTCATGTTGAGTTGCTGTATGATAAAGTGCAGGGCTGAGCAAGCGCAAAAATCCGCATGTTCTTGATTTTGGACGCTGTCCCTGCACGGGACTGTACATGGCCTTGAACAGCCAGCTGATAGGAAACAGCAAGGATATCAACGTTTCTCAGCTTCGTTCTGCCATGCTGGTTGCACAACGTATTTCGTTGAAACGGCTGCGACGAAACACCGCTATGATCCTCAAGAGGCCGTCGACATCCCAACGCAGATGTCATTAAAGAAGCTTGGCACCGTAAACCAGATGGTCGAGACTGTGTGAGAGAAGTACGAGTAGGGCATTCAGAACCTCCGAATTTCTTTCATGCAGACGGATCTCTCCGACTGCAGCAAGAAGGCTTGGGAGCATCCCAACAGTGCTAATGTAGGTGCCTTTGTGATCAGAATCGTGTTCGTTGAGGCACAGTCATAAACCCCTGATAAACCCTAAACCCTGAACCCTATGTGCTCCCGACTTCTTGCCGGAGTAGGCGACTCCGACGTGTGGCAGCTTCACTGCTGTCTCTTAGGCGTGGCAAAACCGAAAGGACAGAGAAGCTCTGAAACCCACAGGACTAACTGTTTAGGGTTTAGGGGTTTAGGGGTTAAAGGGTTTAGGGTTTAGGGGTTCAAGGGTTTAAGGTTTAGGGTTTAGGAGTTTCGGGGTTTAGGGGTTTAGGGGTTTAGGGTTTAAGGTTTAGGGGTTTAGGGGTTAGAGTGTAGGGGTTTAGGGCTTAGGGTTCAGGGTTTAAGGGATTTAGGGTTTAGTTCAGGGTTTCGGGTTCAGAAAGTTCCCTCCAAGGAATGTAGGAACATCAAGCTCAAGACATCACACCCTGATATACCACCTTTGTGTGGCGCCGCTGTAGATCATACCGTCTGACGAGGACCCTGTTCAGCCGCCGGCACGGAAAGTGCCAACAACTTGAGACAGCAAAAGGGGGTTTAGGGCTTAGGGTCCCTAAACCCTAAACCCTAAACCCTAAACCCTAAACCCTAAACCCTACAAACCCTAGACCCTAAACCCGCTTGACAGGGCTTTGTCGGCCACACTTCTAGACGGAAATGTCAAAGCTGGGATAGCGGAGCTTCCTTCCCCAGACCCCCGGGAGGATCTAGAAAGTAGAACCCCTAATTTGGGACCCTATACCGGTTTAGGGTTTAGGGTTTAGGGTTTAATTAGGGTTTAGGGTTTAGGGGTTTAGGGTTTAGGGTCATACTACTAAGGGCTCTTTATAGGAACCCCCCTTAAGATTTCACCACGCAAAGGCGCGTCAAGAAAGATTGCTTATGAACCAGGGGTCTACGTAGTGTCCTTTTCACCCCAAACCCTAAACCCTAAACCCTGAACCCTAAACCCTGAACCCTAAGCCCTTAACCCTAGACCCTGAAACCTAAACCCTGAACCCTAAACCCTAAATCCTGAACCCTGAACCCTAAGCCCTGAGCCCTTAACCCTGAACCCTAAAGCCTAACCCTGAACCCTTAAACCCTATGCCCTCAACCCTGAACCCTGAACCCTGAACCCTAAAGCCTAAACCCTTAACCCTGAACCCTAAGCCCTGAACCCTGAACCCTGAACCCTAAAGCCTAAACCCCAAACAGCCCTTAAAACCACACCATGAAGCCTGGACCTGCGCAAAAGAATAAGTTGTCTTTAATCGCGATGTTTCGGTGCTGGCCCTGTCGGTCTTCGTAGGAAACTCCCTGGCTACGATGGGTTTAGGGTTTAGGGTCAAGGGTTCAGGGTGTAGGGTTTAGGGTGTAGGGGTTCAGGGTTTAGGGTTTAGGGTGTAGGGTTTAGGGCTTAGGGTCTAGGGTTTAGGGTAATTTTGTTAGGTTCAGGGTTGCGGGCCCGTGCTTTGATTCAGAGGTCGGGAACAATGAATGCAGGGGCCTCAATTAATCATTAGAATAGGGTTTTGGGGCCCATTAAACTAGAATTATAATAAGGAAGTCAAAAATAGTATAGATACTTATTTTAAGCCCCTACCTTAAGAACCCAAAACCCACTTTTTTGTAGGTTCTGATTATAAGCCCCAATATGGGATTTATAGGGACCCTACTAAAAAGTAAGGTTTGGGTTCTTAAGGTATATGAGAGAGACTCCTGGGCCCCCTCCCCCCACCATGACAACTCTCAAAAAATAGACGGGTTTAGGGTTTAGGGTTTAGGGTTTAGGGTTTAGGATTTAGGGTTTAGGGTTTAGGGTTTAGGGTTTAGGGTTTAGGGTTTAGGCCTGCTCGGGTTCTGAAGGATTTAAGGAAGACACTGTTGAGACTCTAGGAAGCATGTAATGTAGGCGCCTTAACAATTAGAATAGGGTTTTGGGGGGGTTTTCCCACACTATAATGTTAAGATTCTAGGAAGCATGTAATATAAAGGCCTTAACAATTAGAATAGTGTTTTTGGGGTGGCTTTCCACACTATGATGATAAATAAGGAGCCACCAAAAACCCTACTTTATTTCAAGAATCCTCTAAACCTCTACAAAATCCCGAGACAAACACCTTAAGGACGAAAAGACCCCTAAAATGGTTTAGGGTTCATATACAGTATAGGGATTCATAGTATAAGGTATAGGGCCCCTACTTTTAAGGTTCTTTTCGTCCCT